TGTCCTAAGTACATGATTTAAATGATTTAAACCTTTTTGCGAACATAATATTATGAGGTTAATATTTGGACGATAAACGGACCATTTTATTAAATTGGGCTAATAACCTATTTACTATTATCGGTAGTATAAAATAAAGCCGTTATTTATGACAGAATAGACAGTCGTATAATGCCACGTGATCGTTTCAGACGGGCTTAGACAATGGACCTTAATAGACCGAAAACAGACTGACGGGTATATTGATCTTGTTGTCATAGTATTATATCGGGTCGGCGCTTTATTACAATATATATAGTGCACATCGCATATGGCATGATTTTGGGTCTTGTAATCATCTATCACACCATACATTGACGGTGGAGACCTACGGATATCGGAAGTTCTTTAATAATGTTTTGTTTAGTTTTGTATTCGATTTCAAATATTATGTATATTTTTACAGCGGAAATAGTTTGATTTTCAATCACGATGTTATTTGATGGTTTTAGATTATCCTAAGTTATTTAACTATTTTAACTTCCTAAGGTTTATTGTCTTATAAGTGCCAACTTAAAAACCATTAATGTTTAATGGTGATTTACAAATTATAAAATGTAATCATGTTCAATCGATTTACCGACTACCATTGAATTAAATTTTTTTTCAAACATGTCTTTTAATGTTCAAACATATTTTTGTAGTGTTTGTACTTATAATTAAAATTATATTTTGCTTCAACTTGCAGAAATTGGAGCTTACCAGTAGAATAGAAACCGATGGGAGTTTCTTCCACAGCAAAATAACGTCTTTAATTGATTTGGATGTCTTAGGGGCGGTCTACGATGTCAACGTTTGCTGCCAAAAACGTGTACGAACTGAAATACAATCGTTGGCATAATTTTGGAGCCTATTAGTTACTGGAAAGCAACATTAAACTAGTGCAAACTCTCAAAATAATTTAACTTGATCGGTTCCTGGTAGTGAGTAGGTAGGTACAAATTTATAATTATTAATTTGTTACTACAAACGTGTAGAAGTGTAGTGCACACGGTAAGACAACGATTTGTAAGTATAATTTATTTTGAAAATCTAAAATCGGAGAGCTCGTGGATTTCGAGACTCGCCTTATTTTAGTGCAAAATATGTTATGTGCGGTTGAACGTAATTCGCCGCCCAAACAGTCTTAAATGTGCTGTAGGTAATATAGTTTTGAGTTTTTGACTAGGTACCGAGTAATAACTGCAGAATTCAATTTTGCATATCATTTGTTTTTATTTTCAATCTATTGCAGAGTGAAATATTGTGATTTTAAGTGACGGATTGGGTGGATAACCCAAAATTACATATTGCTTGGGCAAGCTTAGGTCAATACAAGGTGTAACAGAAAGAACTGAAAAAAAAAATCTCAAAAATAATTTTGAAAAACGTACCTACGTTTTAAATTAACTTACTCGAAAAAAATATTGATAATATTTTAAAAAATAAACTACTTTTGACTTAGATACATTTGTTTTTATAATCAGGTTTACAAATAGACTATTTTGAAATTTTCAAAAAAAATTTGAACTAAATTTTTATTCCAAATTTCACGAATTAAAAACAATTTTAAATATTGATAATTATAAAAGATTAATCAGTTTTTTCTGTTACACCCGTGTACATCATTTAGAAAAAGTTTGTATGATGGTTGCCTAATAATATGTCCAATGTCCATTGACCATTACATTTTTCTTTCCGTCTTTAGAGACTATACATAATATTATTATGTATCGTTCTGAGCAGGTCTCTTAAAATGATTATCACATATCTAAGTACCCATAGTCAATATTATAAAAGTGTTTATTTCTGTAAAATACAATAAAATTATTATATACTTACAAATTGTAATACGTATAATGTATATGTATATTATTACTATGTATATTGTATATTGTATACTTAATTACTAAGCACAATACATAATATACTATACCTATGTGCCTACTGATACAAAAAAGATAAATATAAATTCGCCCGAATGATCACTTAATATTTCCAACAGATGATATAATATTATTACGCTTTACTCGGGTAAATTTTGCCCAAATAAATGACGCCTATTTCAAGTACTTATTCGTTTTACACAAATCTGTCGTTTTGACAATATTTCACGTGGGTATAGGTATATACCTATAATTTATTGTAGTACGGTATACGGTAACCTACTCAGTGTGTAACTGAAGATTAAAATGAATTCAGTTATCAAACATTATAATGTAATATGGTACATAATTTCTTGTGTTTACTATATGTATATATTATATACTTACGTGAAATAGCAGGAAATTGTAGTGGACGTTATATTTTTGAAGTAGCTATTTATTTTCAATCAATTTTTTTTTTATCTACATGACGTGTACCTATACATATTATAATATGCAACTATAATAACATACATAGGTCACTTACTATTGAGGACATTTCGATTTTCGAATGCATACGCCATTATAATATATTGTTATGCAATACAATAGAAACTTCAATATTATTATGATAGAATTCTTCAAACAATACTCATGTGCGTACAAAGAAAAATTTTTATATATCTTTGGCGGAAAAACGAATCTCGAAAACGCTACAGCTGTGCTTTCTTGTCAGTGGCAAAACGGACCTAAAACAACACATAACCAACCTACAATTTTGAGGTTGGTTAGATAATGAGTACTTATTTTATTAGTTATTACAAAGTAAATGTTATTTAGTTTTAACACAAGAACTCAAGTCAGAACTATTTATAATTGATAAATATGTATAACCTTATAACCTCTAAGTATATTTTAATTATATTTAATATTCACAGTAGCTTAATTCCTATACCTACATCTGTAGTTACGACCATTGTCAATGACATTATTACTATTATTACTATAAGTCACAACTTTTTACAAATAAAAACGAATCATTTTCGTTAAGACTTAAGTAACAAATATCAAATATAATTATAATATATTTATTACTTTCAAAAAGCAAGAATATTTTATTTGTGGTAGCAAACCGATTAACTTGGTATCACAAAAAAATTGTATGGGGGTACCAAAAATACCCTTCGATATCCCTTAGTGATTCCTATGCACAGGTAAGTACTTAATTTCTAAACCATTAAATTTTTCGATGATTCATCGATTCATCAGGATAAATGTAAAAATAAACTATAGCACTCTACTCGTTGTTTTTCCTCTAAAAGGAAAATAGTATATAAATCATAAATATGTTTTTGTTAATAAGACCATGACAACAAAAATCTTACAAAAATTCGGTCTGAAACAAAAAACGTGTCTCCAACCCAAAAACATATTTATGTCAAAAGTATTATAATGTGTTTCAGATAAAAAAAAAAAAAGCATTGATGTAATATACAAACTAAATGTTTATTGACATGTTAAGCAATAATAATTACAAATAATTTAGTTCTCAGTCTCAAAATGTATATTTTACAAGTTATTGACAATATTTTATGTAAAAAAAAAAAAACAAAACAATTATTACTACATTGTTAATAAATCATGCAAAGTGCGTCTTATTCTAAGAAATACAAAAAAAACCCATTAATTAACGCTTATTTATGTAATAACTTATAATATTTTTGGAGAAAATGAAATATACAAAAACGGCGACGAAAAAGAAATCACAGCTTGTCATCTGCTATAAAACGAGTATAATAATAATATTATGTATTTCCTCGATACTAATTTTTACATCTTAGTTTTGTTTTTTTATCTTGAAAAAATAAATCAATATTTTTCCTTGATAATTTCAATTTATTACAATATATAGTACGTCATAGTATTTGTTTTTACTTATTTTCAAAGTTACGAGATTATATTTTTCAGAAAACGATCATTGATAGAACAGTAAAACGCAATATATTATTATTGAGCAGCATATTAGTTTTCAAAGAATTTATGGTCCAAACGAATGGAGGAAAATCCACGGATTTAATATTATATAATATTGAAGTAGGTATAAAATACCCGGCAAGTTTTGTTGTCCGAACTATGTTAACGCTCATAAACTATTATAATATTATAGACTATATATATATTTATATTTCATATTTTTCACATCGATATAAGCTGCTGTCGACAAAGGCATACATTCCCGCTTCGCACACATAGCCGATATGAAATATAAAATCGAGTGTGATATTATTTTTCGCAAAAATATATGAAATAATGTCGCGAAAACTCAAAATTCTACCGGAAAACTGCGCAACAGGTGTGCGATTACGCCCACGCGCATAAAAAGTATTTTATTGCATCAAAGTGACATTCTTCAGACGGGTCGGCGCAAAGGATTCGAAAAAGTCAGTACTTTTTGTATTTCTTTTTAAAACGGATCAAAACAGTTGTACAAAAATAAATAAATAACATATTTACAATAAAATATCAGGAGGTGTTGTACGCGCGAAAACATTCGATTCAAGCATTCAAAAACGAGTTTTACAGAGTATAATATATTATGTGGGTCGCCGTTAAATTATGTTACATATAGGTGGGTTATAACTTTGGGAAAAACCGACGATAGTGACCCTTATAGACGCAATTCGGGTGGCTCGGGGGTGATTATAAGCACCCCCAGTTTCTAAAATATCACCCCCATAGGCCATAACGATGGCGTAGCGCACAAGTGTGATAAGTGACATTTTCGTAATTGTTCAGGAGAACGATTTTTAAGTTTGAGATGTTATAACAAATTCAAAAATGTAACGAACTGTACAACATCTATCGGAGTAAATAATGAACTATTCACTTACAACGTTTGGGCATAATGTGCAGAATTGTATGATTAAATTGATTATGCACTTAACTCATTTTTCAAAAAAATGTCACTTATCACACTTGTGCGCTACGCCATCGATAATATGTATGCCATTTTTGGACTAACCCATTTTTTTTTATTGAAATCGAACCACCCTCAACGTACCGTCGTCGTACCGTCGTCGTACCGTCGTTGTACCGTCGTCGTACCGTCGCCGTCCACTATAACTGCCGTTGCTGCGGCCACAGCATCGGGACGCCGAAATTGGAGTAACACGTTCGCGCGGCCGCCACCGTGGACGAGGGATTGGCCGTGGCCGGACGACCGCCGTCGGCCACCGAGGGCGTCATGCCAAGCTGTTCGTGCAGGGCCACGATGTACGTCTGGGCCATCTGAAGCGTTTCGTATTTGGACAGCTTGCGCTCGTCGTCGGCGGCCGGCACGACGCCCCGGAGCCGGTCGAACGCTTCGTTCAAGCCGTTCATGCGGCGCCTCTCGCGAGCGTTTGCCGCCAACCGCCGGCGCTTCCTGCTGCCCGCCGAGTCGACCTTTGCACCGTTGCCGCCTCCGAAACTCTTATCGCTACTGCCACCGCCAAAACTGCTATCGCTACCACCGCTCGCTGACATCGCCGTCAACCGACGGTCAGTCGTCGACTTTTCATCCGCAGGGGCCGCGTAACCGTAACCACTGTCGTCATACCACTGAAGACTAGCGAAAGGGTCGTCGAACGCGTCGCAATAATGTTGTGACTGATACACCACGTCCGGGGTTGTTCTCAACATGACGTCGGGTCGAATCGCACCGTTAACAACAACAACAACAATAATTACGACGAATATATCGCGATGCGCACACTGCGACCTACTCGAACCGTATACCCGAAAACCGGTGCGCGGTCTCAGTTTTATATAGGTAACCGCGCGGTAATCGACCGCCCTGACGCGGGGGGCGGATCCCGCAACTGCTCGATAGGAGCAACCGGATCGCACGGCTACTATGATTATATTGCTATATTATTATATAGGTACAATAATAACATACAGAGCGATTATGATGCACATCCCTCCTCCGTCGTTAATTTATTAATGAACTCGTTCGAATTCTGATTTTTGGAATATTTAAATGTTTTACTCTAAAGCCATAATATTTTCAACGATACATTTTTGTACTAATAAGAAGTGCTCGCTGTGGCGATTCAAACTTCAGATGTTTTTAAAATGAGGACATCCTCCTTTTTGCTGTACATTATTTAGTGGATAATTCATTTGACAATATTTTTATGTTTATTATTTTTATAATTCAAAAAGTAATTTTTCAGTTATTAAAATATGTTTTTCGTAAGTCCTTAAGCCCTTGAAAATGGTTGTAAAAAAATATAAAATTTACGGGAGTCAATTCTTGTACCTACTTGTTATAATATTGTACTCGAATCATTTTTATAGTTTAAAAATACTGATGGACTACTATTAATGAATATGTTTTTTTTATAATTATCTTTGACAATGGAATTTTTTTTTATATCCTGTATTCAAAATTTCTACCAGAAGGAATGCTTCGATTTCAACATATAGTACCTTATCTTTTAGAAAATTGCATCAAGGCGATACTTTAGCGAGGTATTTTTTCGTTTTTATCAATATATATATTTAATGCCACCTGAAAAACCACCGAAAAATTACGAGAAACCCCTAATAATGGGATTTTAATTTCTAACGCTTTGTTTATCACCATAGAAACGAATAAAAAATAATAATATTATAATATTAATTCAACTTACATGGTATTATAATAAATAATAACAATATAAAATATCGAGACTGGAAAACCGTCTCCGATCAGAATCGTTTTTCTTATACAATGATAATATTATATCATTGAATTCAAGTTTAATACAATCCATTATACAATGACCCACTTGTAACCGGTACAGCAGAGCAGCATCCACTTACCCACTTTTTTAATATTTATTGTATTTTTTCTTCTTAATTGAAAATATTAGACTGCAGACTACCAAGCTTAAATAAAAAACCATAAAAGTCATTATATATTTTATTTGGTTATTTTATCATGTTCTTAGTATGCAGAGTTAATTAATAATTCGAAAACTTGGTACTCGTTCAAATTTTTATTTTAATAAGTCAACATTTTCAAAAAAATTATCAACTAAATCACGGGAAAAAATGTCCGAGGGGGGTGAACCCCTACACAGCCCTCTCCAGCGGTCACCCATGCACTAAATAATTTTCAGTAGAAAAGGGAGGTGGTCATTTGAAATACACTGTATAACTTCAAGGGACGCGTCTTCTTACAAGTACCTATAGTACGAAAAAATCTTGAAAACATTTTCGTTATTATAGCTCGAGGTAGGTATTTGAAAATTACAAAAACCAGATTCAGGAATAAGTGCATATTGCTGAAGTGTCGAATCACCCTGTATAATAATAATTACACGAGTACGCGGCCGTTCACTGCAGTCGTCTCTTCCAGCGAGGGATGATGATCAGAGGGTATTTCTGGGGTAGTGGGGTGGTGGGGGGGGTTCTGATTTTGGTGGAGGAAGTGGCGGCGGCGCCCAGCGTTCTCTCGACGTATTCTCGCCCACCTGTATATTATTATGATATATATCAATCCGAATGTATACGCCCGACTCTGCCCCCCGATATTCATAATAACAATAATAACAGTAATAATAATTATATATTATATTTTTATTATACGCCCCCTCGTGAGTGTGAGATAAACAATAAATCGTTTAGTTTCGATGCTATTCGCGGCCCGACCGATTTGCGTCTTCTTTATTACACTCGAATCTTACTACAGCTATTTCGTTTCGTATTTTTCCCCCCATCTCTTCACACCGTTTTCGTCGTAAATATCGGCTATTTCATGTCCACAGACCATCATAAAGTATATATTGTTAAACTGCAGCAGTTTTCATATTATAAGAGAGTAATATATTGTTATATTTTATTTTATTAACTAACGCCAGTCCGGCAATTATTGCAAAGTTGGGTAAATGACTGCAAGTTACATAATTATAATGTGAATGGATGTACAGTGTGCGTAGGGGCGTGAATTCGAGGGGGTATTGGGTTTTCAAACCTCCTCCTCTTTCTACCCTCCCCCTTGGTATTTCTTCTTTATATCTATACATGTACAGATGTATACAAATTTAAAAATATTTTGATATATTATAATATATATGATGCATTTAATATGAATTTTTTTTATATAACCCTATTCCCATTGAAATTGTCTGCAGTGTACGCCACTGAGTATATGTGTGAACAACAGTGTAGTGAGTCAGATTAGTAATAATAATAATAACAGTAATAATAAAAACAAAAAACATTAAAAAAGAGAATTTTGCACATAAATTAAAAGTTATAATGCGAATGTGGCGATTAAACTGAGGTAGGGAATAGGTGTTTATGGTAGGTTAAATTAAAAAAACAAAGTTAAAGCTAGTTGTGGAAACGTAGCATTTTGTAGGGCTAGCGGTATTTTTGGTATACAGGTAATTACCGGTTTTTAAAAATACCCTATCTGGTATTTTAGAATATACCGGTATACCGTGAATCAGTAATTACCGTTATTACCAAAAATACCGTATAGCATTTTGATATAGGTATTATTATAGTTAATAAATCGAAATTTATTTAATTAATAATAACAATAAATTATTAATTTATCTGCCTCATTAAGCAATGCTTGTGGCGAGGTAGATGAGTTGATAGTGTACAATATAATATTTAAATAAAAAACAAAGAAAGTAAATATGATAAGATTAACAAAGAAGAACAAAATTTGTGATTAGCAACAATATTAAATACTTAAATTCTACATAATATATAATTAAAGTTCAAGTAATAAGTAATTAACAATAGCTTTTTTATTAGTTATAAAATTATACTTATTTACATTACTAGAAATAACATTACTATTACTAGAAATCATTTTTTTAGGTACAGCGGCAATGAATTAAAATTTGTTGGACCTAAATAGTCCACAAACTTTTTCCCAAAACTCTTATTAGTGTAGTTTACTTGCATGTCATATGACCTATTTTCCCTTTTATTATTTTTTTGGAAACCAAAGTTATCAATTTGGAACATAATAGAAAACTGCTTGTATAAATATCTGACCGGCAGAGCTTTAAAAACTTTATAATTAGTAGTAGACGAACCATATAATTCCTTTTTATTCAAACAAACTCTTATGGCGAGATTCTGTTGAATCTCAAGAGGCCTACCTACATTTATTATTTATAACTTTTATATGATCGTATAACGACATATTAATATACCTCTATAGCTCTATCCTAGGTTGAAAACTTGGAAACACTATAGTAAATTTGCCAAAGTTTATATGGTATTTTTGATATAATTACCTAGGGAAAAATCGTACAATATTTTCGGTAATTACCGTAGATACCGGTAATACCGTATAGATACCGGTAATAAACCGGACACCGGTATCAACATTTCGAATATCGCAGCCATTTTGTATATAAGATGGTTGTACAGACTTTGCACAGACAATAAGGACACGAAAAAAGATGGAAGACAGAAGATCCATCGATTGAGCCATTTTATATTGTTATTATAACAATGATAGTAGGTAATTGTTGTCGTCGTCGCCGCCTAAAATAATTAGACGCGCAAATAAGTGATCGGACAAATCAAGCTGTCGTCGTCACAATACGAACGGTTTCCTGCGTCAAGCAGCGGAACAGCACGGCCGCGCGACCCATGTCCCCGTACCTGTAGTGACGCTAGACGCCGCGTCCAGACCATAGAGTAATATTACTTAATATATTATATCAGATTATGCAAGCACCGTAAAAGGCAGTTTTTCGCCGTAAAACAGCTGCCCTCCGCCGCGCGTCGTCCTATAAATCCATGGCCGTTGTCGTCAACAGTGAGCGTAGAATTTATATACTTACACTTCGCAGTATTTCTATGGTCTGCGACACCGTCATTGTCTCGATAACAATATTCATTGTGCGTATTTTCATTGTCGCGTCGATGTCGTATAGAGTTGGCCCGGCGGCCATCATCGTTCGCCGACCGTATATCGTGGAGCGAAAAGGTTCCAATGATCGTTTCTATGAAATTGTCCTGCGGGAGAGCAACTTTAAGGTCTGAGCTCAAATATTTTACTCCTCGAACACCATTTTTTGAAAATATTAAAGTTCCAAGACATGCAGCGACTCTTATAATTTCGATATCGCCGAAATATTTATCGCGCGCGTTATTATTATGCCTCTTCGATGTCCGCGCAGAGTTCACCCGCAGTCTGTCTGTACGCCCGGCGGCCATCATCGTTCGCCCACCGTATGTTCTGATGTAATACTTCCGCGTGGAACCGTTCGCTGGTGCAAAACGATACGTTCGCCGTCGCTTTGTATCGTTATATGGCGACTCCTTCCGCCGGCCGGTAACGTACCACCGTTGCCGCCGTCATTGCTTGCCGTCATTCACTCGGCCGGGAGATCGTCAGCATTTCCAGGGCTCAACCCAATCACCGTCCGTGACATCCCAGGGCCAAGTAACGTACCCATTTATTGTTATTATAAGTATCTAGCCGCACATATTCGCACTCCTAGAACAACTCAAAATTTATAGTTTTGAGAAAAATCAATTTGAAGTTTGGACCTTAGATATTTTAATGAGTTTTTTACTTATGCGTTTGAAATTTAACACTTAAATACTTACAGTCATTCTTTATAATATTAATTTTTCAAATATTTTGAAATTCACTCTTAAACCCAAAAATTTAG